AGGGGATTGAAACCATGGCAATGAGATGATATACGATGGAATGAATGTAAAATTAAAGTTCCCCCATGTAAACTACCATATAATTCACAATAAAACATTAAAAAAAAAAAAGAAAAGAAAAGAAATCAGGCAACATATTGCAAATCTGCTGCAAAAAAACTCTTTGAAGTGCTAAAGAGCAAAGATGTGAGTTTGAGGACTAAGGTGCCCGATCCAAGTCATGGTAATTTCAATCACCTATATTTATGAGAAAGCTGGACAATGAGTAAAGAAGAATCAATTTCATGCATTTCAATTATGGTGTTAAAGGAGAATATTGAAAGCATCAAGGACTGCTGGAAGAACAAACAAATCTGTCTTGGAAGAAGTACAACCAGAATGCTGTAAGAAGAGAGGGTAGCGAGATTTCAACCCTCATACTTCAGACATGTTTTCAGGAGGGACCAGTCCCTGAGGAAGGATATCATGCTTGGTAAAGTGGAGGTTCATAGAAAAAGAGGAAAATCCCCAGTGAGATTAATTGACACAGTGGCAACAACAATGGGCTCAAATATAACAATAATTGTTGGGATAGCAAAGGACAAGGCAGTGTTTCATTCTGTTGTACATAGGGTCACTATGAGTTGGAATTGACTCGAAGGCACCTACTAACAACAGGTCACACAGAGGCAGTGATTGTTGGGATAGCAAAGGACAAGGCAGTGTTTCATTCTGTTGTACATAGGGTCACTATGAGTTGGAATTGACTCGAAGGCACCTACTAACAACAGGTCACACAGAGGCAGTGATTGTTGGGATAGCAAAGGACAAGGCAGTGTTTCATTCTGTTGTACATAGGGTCACTATGAGTTGGAATTGACTCGAAGGCACCTACTAACAACAGGTCACACAGAGGCAGTGATAGATTTCTTGCCTTCCATGAGATAGATCTGAGTTCAATTCTCAGCCTAGGGATCCCATGAGCAGTCACCACCCATGTGTCAGTGGAGGCTTGAATCTTGACATGATGCTGAACTTCCAGACTATGATAGACTAGCCAGGACAAAATGTATGGTGATCTACTTCCAAAAATTAGCTATTAAAAATCCTATGGGTCACATGGTCAATAAGCAATCAATCATGTAGCTGCCTCAGGACTGGGCAGTGTTTTGTTCTGTTGTGCAAAGGATCACTGTAAGTCAGGGGGCCCACTTCCTGCAGCTCATCATAACAATAGCTCTTGCACAGACTAAAAGGTGCTGAGGAGGACACAAAATGGAAAGGACAAGTCCCTGCTCTTTGGAGACTCAAGCTAGAGCTGGGTCTTAGAATAAGCCAGCAACCCCAAAGTTGATTACAGGGCAAATGGACTGCTATTGTTGTTGTTAGGTGCCATTGGCACCGACTCATAGTGACCTACGCACAACAGAACGAAACATGCCCTGTCCCATGCCTACCTTGCAATTGTTGCACAGCCTGAGCCCATGGCTCCTGCCACTGTGCCAATCCATCTCGTTGGGGTCTTCCTCTTTTTATCCAACCTTCCAGTTAACCAAACATGGTATTTTTCTCCAGGGACTGGTCCCTCCTGATGATGATGTCTGAAGTATGAGAGACGAAGTTTGGGCATCCTGGCTTCCATGGAGCTTTCTCACTGTACTTCTTCCACCACAGATTGGCAATTGCAGAAGAGACAGAAAACCATGGAAATTCCTTGGGCAAGGTTTTCTGGAGATGGTAGTTCCATATATGATGAACTGTGAGGAACTTTCTATTTCAAAGGGGGCAGGAAAGCACACCAGGGGCAGGAACATGATAGGAAGAGGGCAGATTTTCAGAAAGGTATGGTATCCTAGAGAGACAAACGGTGCCCAGCCATAGATCCTCCAGGGGTTGGCTGGGTGGGGAAACCCAAGGGAGAGCCCACCTGGACTCACCTGTGGCTGGGGGTGGAGACTCAGTCAGGAAATGCTGGCAATCTTTCCGGTATTCCCGCCATTTCTGCACTGTCTCCGACAGAGACACAGTGGCACCCTGAGGGGGAGACAGAAATGGGGTCCCATGGAACCAGACAGTCCATCTCCTACCCTCTGCCCCCACATACTTGGTTTCTTTATCTCCAGGGACCTCAGAATCCCAAACCCAGTCAGGCACTAGAGATCTCTGAAAGACGGGAGAGAGCGAGCCACTCCCACAAAGCAGTTCCAACAGGATGTTTCTGCATCTTCAAGTCTCCAGGAGGCAGGTGGCACAGCAAACCAAACCCATTGCCATTGTTAATTCTGACTCACAGTGACCCTATACAACAAACCCTGTAGAACTGTCCTATAGATTTGAACCACCAACCTTTAGGTTTGCAGCTGAGCAGTGAGCCACGGTGCCACCAATCAATGTCTATTGAATTGATGCTTTCTGTGGGGTGGTTGAGTGAATTGGGAAGAGAGATGACAGTGTGTGTCTTATACCTGGCTCATTTATGTCATCTCACTTAGGAGAGAGACTTCCTGGGGACCCAAGGATTCCCTATTGCTACGGACTCCTCTTTATCCATCACCCTGTTAGTCTGCCTGAGAGGTTTTTGCGCTCTCAACCATTCAAGAATGGGACAGGCAATCCTTGATTTTCAGGTGAGGCAACAGAATTTTTAGGACACAAAGCCAAACAGATCCACCCAAATAAGAATGGTCCCTTCTGACATTTGAGCACATTTCCCTTTAGATATGTCTTGGGACCGTGATATTTAAAATTAATGACTAATTTCAACAGCTTTAAAGATTGCAAATATTTCTCATTTGGAGACTGCAGATGCTTCAACGATCATGGTACCCTCTTGTATATAATTTAGGTCCTTAACCGGAAGTTTAGCTGTTTGAATCCACCCAACGGCTCCTGGTAGATGTAGACCTGGTGACCTGTTGCTGTTAAGATTTTAGCCTAGGAAACTCTCTTGAGCAGGTCTACTTGTTCATGTGAGGTCCTCTGAGCTAGAAATGACTCACTTGATGGGCACTCAACAAAAACATGGAATTTACAACACAATTTCAATTTTAAAGTCCCAAAAATGTACACGTGTGCTGAAAATTAAGTTACTTATTTTTTTTCAAGTATGCACTCTTGACTTGTGATGTTCTGGTTTCTAGGTGATCTTGTCCTGGTTGAAGCTGATTTGTAGCTTACAAGACAACCTCTCACCCCCTTGTCTCCCCTCCCGCTAAAGACACTGGCTGGAATTTCTCATGTGATCCCTCTTAGTTGCACAGAGAGCCCCAGAGAGGGGGCCAAGCTTGTGTCCAGCTCAGTAACATCCATGGAGTAAGTGTGCTGAGGCCGCAGATGGGGGCTTCCCTGAAGGATGGAGCTGTTTTGAGGGTAAAGATTAAGGGTATTTATTCCAAACAAACAAAATCAAACACAATAAAGACAGTGTCATAATTTTAGTCACAACTGAGGGGATACCATCGTTTTCATAAGAGCCTGTTTTTTTTTCAGTCACCATCACCCATTCCCTCCCTTCCTGGTCCTGGAAACTGTCTTCTCCTCCCAGCCATTGACTGAGCTGCTGCTGGTGGGAAGACCATAAGATGGGGAGAATGCCCCTTGATCTGCTTCTTACAGAGGAGAGCAGGCAGGAAGCAAGGTCATTGCTGGGAACTGAACTGAAGGTATGTCTGGGGCAGAAAGTGGCCAAGGAAGCCCAGGGGAACCAGAAGTCTCTAGCTGGGGGTGAGGTGGTTAGACTGTGATAGCCAGTCTGACCACCCATACCCTGGGAAAACCTAAGACAGAAGAAGCCTGTTATCCTGTGTTGAGTAGAGTAGTGATCAGAGAACCATTCTCACATTCAGGCTTTCTGAAGACTGGATGGGTTCTCCCCTCAGACCAGAGCTCCCTGAGGGCAGGGCTGTGTCTCCCCTCAGACCAGAGTTCCCTGAGGGCAGGGCTGTGTCTCCCCTCAGACGGGGGCTCCCTGAGGGAGAGCTGTGTCTCCCCCACAGACAGAGGTTCCCTGAGAGTAGGGATATGTCTCCCCTCAGACTAGATCTCCCTGAAACAGGACTGTGTCTCGCCTCAGACTTGGGCCCCAACTAAGGGGCCCTTCTTCTCGCACCAGCTCAGGATTGACAAATACTGTTTACAGATTTCATCTTATTCCCTACGTTCATCACAAACTACCCAGACATCTGCTGTCTGTCCTGTGTCTATGGGAGCCATCACAGTGCCAGTATTGAGGGTGGTGGGGTGAAGAACAAAGCCCTGAGGGTGGGGCTCAAACACTTAGCAGTATGAGTGACATGCAGACAAGGCAGTGGGTAGATGTGCTCAGGAAGTGGTCGGGAGGGACTCAGTGCAGACTCCAGAGACCTGGGGGACTCTGGAGACCAAAAAGGTGGGGGTGGGGTAGAGTGTGGTGGGAGGTGGGGACACCACAGCTTAGATGAGTAGACAGAAGCTGTGGGCTGTTCAAGAGGACTTCTGGGCCAGAGAGAGAATAGCAGAAACAACCAGGGACAGAGTGAAGGACCAGATGTGGGTGGAACAAGGCTAGGTAAGTGAAGCTGGTGACTGCCGTATACCAACTGGTCCGGGAGCCCCAGGAAAACAGTGGAGGGTAGGCCTGTTCCTGGCTCCTTCATCTAACCTCAGCATAGCCAAACAATGGGGATAATAGTCACTACTGCTGACCCCCCTCCAACACACACTCACACACAGGATTGTTGTGAAGATTAAATGAACCATGGCTTCAGGTTTGGAGGAAGACTCATTAACAACCTGAGATATGCAGATGACACAACCTTGCTTGCTGAAAGTGAGGAGGACTTAAAATTCTTACTGATGAAGATCAAAGACCACGGCCTTCAGTATGGGTTGTATCCCAATGTAAAGAAAACAAAAATCCTCACCATTAGACCCATAAAGAACATCCATATAAATGGAGAAATGATTAAAGTTGTCAAAGACTTCATTTTGCTTGGATCAACCAGCAACACTCATGGAAGCAGCAGTCAAGAATTCAAATGGCATATTGCATTAGGCAAATCTGCTGCACAAGACTTCTTTCAAATGTTCAAGAGCAGAGATGTCAGTTTGAGGACTAAGGTGCTGACCCAAATCACATTATTTTCAATAACCTCATATGCATATGAAAGTTGGACAGTGAATAAGGAAGATCAGAGAAGAGTTGATGCATTTGAGTTATGGTGTTGAAGGAGAATATTGAAAGTACCAGGGACTGTCAAAAGAAAAAACAAATCTGTGTTGGAAGAAGTACAGTCACAAAGCTCCTTGGAAGCCAGGATGATCAGACTTTGCCTCTCAAACTTCGGACATATTATCAGGAGAGACTAGTCCCTAGAGAAAGATATCATGTTTGGTTAGAGTGGAGGGTCAGTGAAAAAGAGGGAGACCCCCAACAAGATAGATTGACACAGTGGCAGCAGCAATGGGTCCAAGTGTAGCAACGACTGACTGTAAGGGGGGCACAGGACCGGGCAGTGTTTCCTTCTGTTGTGCCTAGGGTCACTAAGTCGGTACCGACTCGATGGTTCCTAACAACAACAACAACAACATTAAGAACAGCTCCTGGCATGTAAGAGCATGCTGTCAGTGGCAGCCATTCTCAGTATTTTTGCTGTTTCCGGGAGAATGTGGTAAAGGGTGACCTGGCTTCCTGGGGAGTCTGAACCCCACTCTTCCCTCATTCCAAACATCAACACAGTCCCAAGAGGTGGAAATGATTTCATGCCAAAGGACCAGTCATTCTTCTCAATTAGTGAATTTAAAAAAAACAAAAAAACAAAAAAAAACTAGTAGTAGCCCAGCCAACGGCAGGGGAAACTAAGTAGTTCTGTCCTGAGGGCAAAGACCCATCCTCATTTCATCCTCCTACATGTGCTGAGTGGTGGGGAGGATACAAGGGCAGGTGCCCCCCAATCCTCTTAGGGCAGCAGAGCTGGAGGTGGACACAAGGGATGGGAGTTGTGAGGGGCCAGGACTTGGCCAGATTGAATTAGTGCCTGGCAGACTTCATAGGATCTCAATGAGGTGGGGGGAAGGCGAGTAGACACTATGGTTGAATTAGGGCAACAATAAGGAGAGGGTGTTTCTCAGATTCAGGTGAGTTTGGGAAATGAAGTAAGAGGTGGGAAAGAAGAAGCCAGATAGGAGTGGTTTGGTCTTCAGAAGCAAGCACTAGATGTTGTTGTTATGTGCCGTGGAGTCGGTTCCGACTCATTGCGACCCTATACAGGGATTCCGAGGCTGTAAATCTTTACAGGAGCAGAAAGCCTCATCTTACTCCCACGGAACAGCTGGTAGTTTCGAACTGCTGACCTTGAGGTTCACAGCCCGATTCGTAACCACAGAGCACTAGATAGTCAGAAGTCACAAGCGAGCACTAGATAGTCACAAGACCTTGATTTAAATCTCAGCTCTATCTGTTAATGAATAACTGATGCTGTTACATGCTGTCAAGTCAGTTCCGACCCATAGCAACTCTGTATAGGGTTTCCAATGAGCAGCTGGTGAGCTTGAACTGCTGACTGTGTGGTTCAGACTTGGCAGTCCAGCGCATTAGCCCACACACAGTGCCACACCAGGACTCCAAAAATCCAGATAACAGAAGATGGTTTTGATTCATTGGGGTGATGGGCCCAGCATGCTTCCTTTACACAACTGTTACTTGTATGACTGATGGGACACACTTTATCTTTAGAAACTTCAGTTTCTTTATCTGTAAAATGGGTTAACTTCACAATAAGATAAGATAACTGGAAACTCTCAAGAATGACCAGATCTTGTACCAGAAGGAGGAAGAGCAAAAGCAGACAGATGGAGATGAGGTGGGAACTTTAGGTGGCAATGGGCTTTCCAACACTCTGGGAAGGCACTCCTTACCTAAAAATTGGCCAATTGCTGGAGAAATCCCTCCTACAGAATAAGAGCATTCGATTCTTTGTTGTTTTAGGAACCATTTTGGTGGCAGGAAAGGACCAGAACCTCAACCTCTCTGAGCCACTGAAAATTGGGGGAGGGGCTTCCAGAAGAAACAAGATGGTTCCAAAGACAAACTTCCGGGTTCTCCCAACTTGGCCCAGGCTTTTAGGTTCCACAGCATTTCCTCCCAGGACTCTTAAACTCTTCTCTCTCTGCTACCTCCCAGAGTCCAAACTCCTGCACCCTTGGGCTGCCAGACCCCTGTCTCTGAGCCACCGGTTCTTCTTCAGGCTTTAGATATCTGAGCACAAGGGCTGTACACACACCCTCACATAGGCAGTCACACACATGATCACACATGCCATCAACCACATTCCAAGATGTTGAGACTCACACAAGCACACAGACTGCCAGGCACATACTCACACGCTGAGACATTGGCCCCTGACACACACACAAACTGCTCGACAGTGTCACACTCAACCCATACTGTCGCACACATGCATGCAGAGAAACAGCCACACAGACGCTGTCGCAAGCACACCGTCTTTCTGACATACGCTGGCACCCATCCACATACCAAGACGTCACTCACACTCAGAGAGTGTGACCTGGATGCAGTATCTCACACGTGGGGTCATAACCACATAGATGCTCTCAGATACAGTTACATGCTGAGACGTTGTTTGATAACAGTAAGTCACAATGACAATCTTACCGGCTGTCACACACAGGGTCATGCACACCTACACAAAGAAGCAGGGTCTCATACAGCTCACACCCCTCTCCCAGGTCCTGTTTTCTCTCTTTCTGTCCCTTTCTGTCTATCTCTCACACATACACATACACAAATACAGGCATCTGCCCAAGGGCAGGTTGCAGCTAAAGAAGGCCCTCAGCTGTTTTCCATCAGTGCAAAGCCTTCCGGGGCAGAAACTGGTTTCTTGGTTGACCCTACTTCAGCCCCACCCCTGGTCCATGTCCAGGAGGGAACCTGGCTCAGAGCAAAGTCCACACTGACCACAGCACAGCCTGGCCTCCATCCACCATTCACTAGCATACAGAGGCATGAGACCTCCAACAGTTTGCTCCACATCCTATTTCTATAGCCCTGGAAAACACCTCCAGATTCCTGAAGACAAACGGGTCAGTGCCCTCAAATAACTAAAGCTGCGGTTTCAGGGTGCCAGTGTCTTAACCCTCTCCACAGCAGGCAGCAGATGAGGAAATACAGGCTCAGGATGGCCAGAGTGTCCTAATCAAGGTCATCAGAATGGATATTTGAACCCAGTTCTAGCTGGTTCTAACTTCAGTGTCAGAGGTTTGCCTGTCTAGTCAGTAGACCAGTTTCTTCAGATTGGTCTCGGGGAAGTAAAAAGCTGAGGTGGGAGGTAACTCTTCCCAGTGCAGTGGCTTACGTCACAATCTTCAAAGGCTATCTTTCTACCTCCAGAGAAGCTGCTTCAGGTCACTTGAGTCCCTCCTGGCCCACCTGAATATGAGGGTATTAGGTCAAGCCCCTAACCCTGCACCCCTTTCTCCTCCTGCTTCTGCATTGCTGGACCACCTCATAGACCCTCTTGTCTTGAGGTTTTGTCCTTCCATCAGCAATGTGGAAAGAGTAACTCCAGTCCTGCAATCTTCATCAACATAAGAGAAAATGCCAATGTCACGAGTTTTATATGTGTGCCGGTCAATTTTGTCATAATCACCTCCAAAGCCAAACCCACAGCTATCATGTTGATTTCAACTCATAAGAATCCTATAGGTCAGAGTAGAACTGCTCCATTGGGTTTCTGATGCTGACAATTTTTACCAAAGCAGACTGCTTCCTCTTTTACCCATGGAAGAGCTATTGGGTTGAACCACTCACTGTTTGGTTAGCAGCCCATTGTGTAACCCAAGACACCAGACTGCAATCTAACCTCAAACGAGAAACCCAGTTCTGCTGTCATACAGGGTTGTTATGAGTCAGAATCGATTTCATGGTGGTGGGTTTGATTGGGGTTTTAACCTCAATGTGCTTGCTGCTAAGATCTCTGTGATGGCCAGATAAACCAAGTGTCCTACAACATGAGTATCCAAAGCTCCACCCTTTCTGCCCAGAACCTGTCCCCTCGTTAACTTATCTGCCACCCAAGTTCTGTTATACCCTGACACACTCAGCTTGTGCCCTGAGCCCAAGACTAAGGAATGAGAGGGATCACAAGAAAGGACAGGTTGAAGGAACATGACTCTTCTGGGGAAAAAAAAAAGTTTTGGAAAAAGGGAGCAGGAAGGGAGCAGGTCACCTGAAGGACCCTTTCTCTTCCCTTGCCTCTCTTTTCTTATTCCAAACCAGATCTGCACACTCAGCCTGGGGTACAGTGGGACCAGAAAGCACATCCCCCCACCACTACCCCTCCATCCCCCAACGTTAGGAAGAAGTAAAGGTGAGAAAGAATGGGATAATGGTTCTGCAGTCCTGGCCCTGGAAAGATTCCAACCACACCAGCTTTCAGGGAAAAGCTGAGGCTGGAGGGCAGGGCGGGAGAGCAGCATGGGAGGGAGGGTGTCTCCCGGGGGCTAGGGGCAGTGACTAGACTGGGCCACAGGGAAGGGGAAAATTACTCTGCAAAAGAATTTGTGGAACTGAAAACGTGTTGCTATTTTAGCTGTGAGGCACTTGTGTCTACATTTGAATTTTTGGCCAGGAATGGAGTCTGCCCTCATCAGGACCAAGACAATGACAACCCCCCCTCCCCATCCTCCTCCCATCTGCTCTCTGATAAATTTCAAGGCCTAGATAGGTCCAATCCCCAACTATCTTAATTCTTCAGGTCTGCAGGAGGTGGGAAGAAACTCTGGTGGCACAGTGGGTAACTGCTTGACTGGTAACCAAAAGTTGGCCATTTGACCCCATCAGCAGTTGGGTGGGAGAAAGATGTGACCATCTGCTTCTGTAAAGCTTTACAGCCTTGGAAACCCTATGGGGGCAGTTCTACTCGGTCCTGTAGGGTGGCCATGAGTTGGAATTCCATGGCAACAGGTAATAGGGAGAGCTGGGGTGAGTAATAGAAGGAGGACAAGACACCCAAGCCTGCACTCGTCTCTGCTCAAGCATCTCACAGCATCTTTGGAAGAAAAGCTCCTTTCCAAGATACAGGCTGATCCTGTACACAGTGAGCCCAAGGATGGTCAACAGAAGGGGTGCACCTGTGACCTGCTCTCTGATGACATGACATGAGTCCAGAATACCTGTGCACCCCTAGTATGTGCTCTGCCGTGTGTCCTCAACTAGGAAGAGTGAGGGGCCAGCCAGGTGTTCCACAAGGGCTGGATGCTTCCGCAGGAGCACTGTCTCCTGCGTGTTTGCTGCAAGGGATAGGGGGGAGGGGGAGGGGTGAATAGACTCAAGTCCCATCTGGGAGGTCACAGGAAAGGACAAGCTGCCATTGCAGGGTCCCTGGGGCTATGAGTCAAAGGTGCTGGGGGACAGAGGAAGGGAATAGGAGCTCTCTCTACACCGGGCCCTTTCTCCCGCCCAGATCCTTCTCTGGGTCTCAGACAAGCGGACAGGGGTGGCTGTGGGAGGTGCCGCAGAGAAGAGGCCCGGGGCACGGCGGAAGGAGTCTAGGGTGCAGGGAGCGAGAGCCAGGTTGTGCCAGGGTCGCTGGCACTGGTTTCCAAAGAGGAGGAGTTGGGAAAGTGGTTTGGGGAGGAGGAAGACCCTGCGCTGAAGTCAGAGCCAGGCGGCTGCGGGGCAGCTGGTGCCTGAGAGGGGGCCGGGAGAATTGGGGTGTCGTCTTCGATCCAAGCACCCCACCTCGGCCTCTCAGCCCACCGGCATCCAACTCTCTAGTCCCTACTCCCTCTGGAGCTTTTCGGTTTCCTTCGCCCGCAGTCGCGGAGTTTCGCCCAAGTCCCGGCGGCCCCTGCCAGGACACTGCGCCTGCAGCCCGCAGCGCCACCTCCCTCCCCACTGTCCCCCGGTCCGCGGGGCTCACCTGGGGGCGGGGGCCGGCCCTGCCCACCGTCCCGAGCAGCAGGAGCACCAGGCGGAGCGGGCCGGGGACACCGGCCATGGCGGGGCGCTCAGAACTGGGCCATCGCTGCCACCTGCGGAACCGCGCGCGGCGACTAATCCCCGGCGGGCGGCGGGCGGCGGGCGCCGGGGGAGGAGCCGGCGTGGGGCCGCCCCGCCCGCGGGAGGGGCCGGTCCAGGTCTCCCGCCTTCCGCCCTGGCCTGGCCAGGCCACTCGGTCACCCCTAAGCCTGGCCAGGGCCAGGAAAGTGTCCCGCACTGCGTTCGGGACGGACGCCGCTCCGGCTTATAAAGCACAGGTGGTGCGCTTGGCCGGGTTCCAGCGGCAACCCCAGCCTCTCCGGGCCTCCCATTCCTCCTCTCAGACTCCCCTAAGAAAAGCCCCCTCACCAACTGAGCCTGAGGAACGGATGGGACTTGTCCAAGGTCACTCTACCCGTCAGATCCCTCTCGTAAAGTTATCCCCAGAGCTGCGTGTTACTAATGACCCACTCATTGGCGTTATCTTTGCCTGGATGGTGTCTTTTCCCCTTTCCCAGGCTCTGTTCTGAAGCCAGATTCCCGGACAGCCAAAGATGAGGGGCAGGGAAGTAACAAGTGAATCAATGGAGCCCGGAGGTGGGGAGGGTCCAGAGGTTCCCCTCCATTTGTGAACTTTGGGGATTTCAGGACAAAGATGAACGAGGCCTTTCTCTAAGCCTCCCCACACCCCACCTTTTGCAGCTCACTCTCACCTTGTTCTGAAGTATTTGGTTCTTAGAAGCTATGTCTTAGAACTAACTGTGTCTTACAACTGGAGCGGCTGTTCCTTGTCCTCCCTATCTTTGTGTGCCGGCTTTGTGGGACTCTGCATTTTACCTGCTTTTGTTGCTACACCCACTCTCACAGTGCAGGGCAGAGTGGATGCTCAGGCTACTCTTTGGCTCCTTTCTCATCACTAGGCTTTGAGAGGGAGTCCTAAGAGAGAATTGAGTTTATTAATGTCCTTGAAAAGTGAAGGTGGTAAAAGGGGATCCCTCAGACAAACAAACAAATAAAATAAGATGCCACAGTTAGGAATTGCTTGGCAACTGTTCTCAGCCTTGGATTTGCCTTGGGCATGTCTGGGCCATTCCCAAGGAGAAGGGAGTTTATGAGAATAGGCTCCTCAGAGAGAAACCAGAACTTCTCAAAGCCTTGAGGGAGGCTGGTCCTCTGTGAGCCCAGAGAAGCAACAGGCAGTGAGAGGAACCACGGGCTTCTTCCTGTGAGAAGAAACTTCCTCTCCTGGGAGCTCTGCCTCCACTGCATGGGAGCCATGTATTCCCTCCCTGGCCCAGAAATCAATCCAACAATCACCTTCAGTGTACCATTTAGGATTAGGTTGTTCATTGGTAATTGACAAAAAAAACAACAAACACACAAATGTGTAACCAAGTGCTCTCTTGTGAAGCAAGTCCCGAGGTTCAGAGGTTCAGCCTGAGATCCAAGTGGAATCCCTGATCCTCAGGGCCCGTGACTCTTCTAGCTTATGGCTCCATCCCTCTCACAGTCCAAGACTTCCACCTTATGACCCAGAGTGTCTGTTCCAGCTCCAGCCAGCAGGAAGGAGGAAAGAGAAGGTGCCTCAAAGTGGCAGCTATCAATCCCACTCCCATTGGTCAGAACTTAGTCACATGGACACTCCTAGCTGCAAGGGAGGCTGGAAAAAGGACATTTTATTGCAGGCAACCAGGAGCAGGGTTAAATATTGGGACTTTGATTGGTGCCGTTGAGTTGATTTGGACTAATGGGGAACCCATGTGTGTAGAGTAAAACTGTGCCAGAGGGGTTTCAAGGCTGTGATTCTTTAGGAATAGAACACCAAAACACAAATGTGGATTTCTGGAAACAACTTGCAGGCTCTGGGGTAGGGAGAGAAGAGAAGATTCCAGAAGGAAAAAGAAGACAAGGAAGCTAGAGATGGCATTCAGACAGAGCTTGAAACTTTACCACTAAATTCATCAACCTCCAAATGACATCTGTTGTTGTTGTTGTTTGCTGTGTTGTCAGTTCTGTCTCATAGCAGCCCTATATAGGGTTTCCAAGAGAGGCTAGTGGGTTTGAACCTACCTCCCTTAAAATTACCAGTCCAGTGCTTATCCTACGGTGGCACACCAGGGCTCCAAATGGCATCTAGTGAGCAAATATGTACTGAAGAGCTGCCAAGCTAGGCCCTGGGGATATAGGGGGATGCAGTCCCTGCCCTTATGGGAATTATATTTTCAGGCAGGAGAGAGGCATTACACATGTAATTCCATTATCTGAGTCAGTTATATCACTGTGGTAAACATGGGTGGAAGGGATGCTACTGAAGTCTCAATCCTCAGCACTCACCATTTCTCTCTGTCTGGGGGCTTTCTCTGACTTTGAGGAGCTTGCTTGTGCTCAGCCAATGCTGGGCAGGTCTAATGTGCTGGCTAATAACTCCCCTAAAAGAGCTCTGGAGTGTTGGTGTGGCAATGTAGGATAATTACTGAACTGCAAAATGTAAAGTTGGCAGTTCAAACCCACCAACCACTCCTTGGAAACCCTATAGAGGGTCACTGTGAGTTGTAACTGACTTGATGGCATTTAACAATAGCAACAACAAGAAACCCTGTAGGCACTGTTACGATAAGACTGGACTGCTAACTGGAAGCCCACCACCTGCTTCTCAGGAGAAAGACGAGGTTGTCTGCGCCCGTCAAAAGTTACAGACTCAGAAACACTAGAAAATCTCTGAGTCAGAACCAACTCTGTAGCAGTGGGTTTTGGAGCAGCTCTTAACCTACAGGGGACAGGAATTGGTTAATAACCCAGCTCCTTTTCCCTTGGATTGCACAATTCAGAGGTGGATACCACATGGTGTCGCAGATTGAGCCCAGTTACCCCACAGTGGCAACCAGCTCAGTAATGCACCTCGTTTTCACTTCTGTCTGAGTTATCTGATGCTGCTAGGATAAAAATAAACGTGAGTGGCTTTAATAAACAGAAATTTTATTTTCTCCCAGTTTAGGAGGTTAGAAGCCCAAATTTAGGGTGCCAACTGTAGAGAAAGATTTTTCTGAGCTTCCTAGTGTGGCGCTGTGGGCAAATGTGTCAGTCTGCAAAGTTGTTTGAATTGCAAGGTCGGTGGTTCAAGCTCACCAGCTGCTCCTTGGAAACCCTACACAGGGTCGCTATGGGTTGGAATCGACTCGATGGCACACAACAACAACAACTACTGGACAGTCTTCATGTCATCTCTCTTCCGGCATTTCTACTTGCTAGCTCGCATTTCAGTTCTCTATCACCAAAACTCGTTTTTTTTTTTTTTTTAAATGTAGAAGCCATATGAGTTTATTATTTACACAGTTGTTAAAGTACACCAATACAGGGATACAGGGGTGGTACACACGTGCTGTCCAGACTCCCGTACATGGTGGAAAGACATTCTACCTATGTGCTCTGCAAGTGCATGGGTTATACAGTGGGCGGGGGAGGGTCCTGAACTGTTCACACCACACCGGAGTGAGGACATGTAGAGTGACCGCTGCGGCCCCGAGGGAACAGTCTCAGTTCCATGAAGGCACTGGCTCTGTAAACAGCCCCCCACCCCAATACTTCTGGAATGATCAGCTCTCTGACCATTCAGAACAAGGCAACCATGGGGTCAACTATGCCGACAATGTCCACTAGCAGCCACGGGGAAGGGAGGGAGGAAGGTTGGCACTTGTGGCCTCCAGCCTCCCAAGGAACAGTCAGAAAAGACACAGGTGGTTTGGAGCACGGTCCCTCGTCAGTGACGCACCCACATCTGTGGAGTTTGGCTTTGAAGCTCATGTCTTGGCACCTCCGCATGGAATCCCTTCTGCCCCTGCCACCTCTCTGGGCACACCAAACCACACCCCTTCGTTCTGAGCTCACAAATGTGGACACAGATCACACCTCAACCTGCACTGGCTGCATGTACAGTCTGTTCAGAAAATTCCCCAAATTTAAATTCAAAGGCATTTAGGCAACAAAACATCCCTGAATCACGTACACGGCCCCGACATGACCCACAGCCCCCTCCTAGTCAGTGGGGGAGAGGGGCACCAGACTCGCGCCACATCCAGTGTTGTTGGTGTCCTTGTCCTCCGCTGGGAAAGACGGCATCTTGCTCTGTGGCAGCCGGCACCTTCCAAGTGGCGAGAAATCCCAAACTGCTGTGCCAAAAGCATCTCTGTCCGGGCAGGTGTGGGAGGGTGCCCTGTGGGGAAGCATGTGGCAGGGCCACGAGACCCCTGCCAACAACACACACACATACACACACCCAACAGAGCGCTGGGGGAACATCTCTCTCCAATGGACCACACAGCACAGCACTACAGGACAGTAGACGGACAGATGGACACACATGACAGGTGCCTGGAGGCACTCCTGCCTGACCACCTCGCACACAAAATGCCAACTAGTGACTTCGTTTCAGGATTCTTTAGCATCAACATGTTTGTAGGACCACAAAAACAGACAAGAAAGAAACAATATAAAGACAAGTTTCTTTACACAGATTAAGCCAGTAATTTTTAGCAAAATGATACAAAACTGTCTTAACTAAGAGAAAGATACAGTAGACTCATGGGGACCTACGCCACCAGCAAGGAGGGAGATTGGCGGGCCGGCCTGTGTCTGTCTACTCTGTGTGTGTGTGTGTGTGTGTGTGTGTGTGTCGCTGGGTGAGTGGGCTGGGGAGCTCTGGTGTAAACTCAGGACACCTCTCCACTAATCCTGCCTCGTTAACATAGCAAAGAAGCCAATCCCCAAGTGGGATTATTACCACAGGCAAAGAGGTTCGGATTTACAACACACATTTCTGGAGGAAACAATTCAATCCTTAGCATCTTCCTTCCCTTCCCTTTCTTACCTTCCCACCAGCAGGAGACTAGTGTTTCCAGGGATACCTTCTAAATAAAAATAAACCACTTATCTTTTAAGTCCTTGTCTCTTTTGGGAGAGCTCAGCCAAAGACAGTGGGCATATGGACTCTGAGCCTACAGGCATTTACTTGCCTTGCCTTTA